TCAGTTACTCAACAGCTGTTTCGTAAGCTGCTGCTGACTTACACTAAGGTATGTGAGGCTACCCTCTGCCCCATCTTGGGCTTTTAGATCATCTTTCTCTGTCCTAAATCCCTCATATGTATGAACTCTCATCTGTAAGACCAATAGTTAAAACAGTTTGGTTGTGGATTGAGGAAGCCACTGCAGAACTACAGAAATGCGTTGATATTTGCAGAAAAGACAAACCTGAAAAGATACACATCCACTGTACTCTGTAGATTACATTGTTGTTACCACAATAAAGACTTTTAATGTGCTCCCAGCCAACTCTGGTTTAACAATAAGGTGCATGCCCTGCTTAGAGCATCCTATGATGCTTTCTGTTCAGGAGATTGAGCATATCCATGCAGAGAGGCATCAAAATGTGCTAATGAATTAAAACATTCACAAGCTGCTCACACATTGGGAGACCTCACAGACATCACTTTGCCTGATACTTTGAGCCAGTTTTTGGCCTACTTTGACTAACTCACCATAGAGGCCTACACATATCCTGCTGCTCCAGAGAATTCCTAAGACTCCACATCTCCACCGACCTCATCTGACACCTGCCTCCAAAGAAATCTACACAAGCATACCTAAGCAGAAGGCCAGTAGGATCATAAATGATCTCTTGCACTCTAGACACTCCTCCTTCCTTCCAAAAGATGCTTCAGATCACTCAAGACAAAATCTACAAAATCAAGTAGTCTTTATCCATAAGCAGTAAGGAGCAAAGATAAGCTCTGGTCCAGAACATAGCAGTGGGTGTCAAACTCCATTCCTCAAGGGCCGCTGTCCTGCAGTGTTTAGATGTGCCACAGGTAAAAAAAACGGTGGAATGAAATGGCTTAATTACCTCCTCCCTGTGTAGATCGGTTCTCCTGAGCCTTGCTAATGACCTAATTATTCTTTTCAGGTGTGGTGCAGCAGAGGCACATCTAAAAGTTGCAGGACAGAGGCCCTTGAGGACTGGAGTTTGACCCCCCTGTCACGAGAGGACCCAAATTTGGGTCCTCTCGTGAATGACAGGTTAACTTTAAATTTACTGTTGCAATTTGACTTTTAAATTATATATTGTATGTATATTTTTGTTTTTTTGTTTTGTTTTATCTCTGGTGTTTATTACTTATTGTAATTTCTCATGCTGCTACTGAGAAGTGCCAAACTGTTCTTTTGTTGTTCTCGTAACAGTGGCAATAAAAATAGTTGATTGGATTGCATGGCAGTACAGCCAGGGGAAGCTATAGGACACTTGTCTTGGGCGTAGTTTGAGCCTAAGCTCAATCCTATAGTGATTAAATTGTACATAAATTAATTTAACAATCACTGCAAATTAGGACAGATTTAAACATCTTCAAATAATTCCAATAAAAAAAATTACTGAAACTGTTTGGAAAAAGTCTTTGTAATACTGTATTGTTTTTATTGATTTTTTTTTTAAAGTCAACACTAAAATTCTGTGGCAATGACTACTTCAGTCTCCAAATCATTCAACTATCTAAGTCTTCACGAGAGCACACATTTATAAACATTTGGTTACATCAGCTGTGCTTGAGATAGAACACCTCAATACACTGAAAAAACAAAATAGTTAAACCAACTTAATTAAATTGCTTCAGTTGGTAAGTTTAGCTAACTTAATTTATTAAGTTGGTTTAACTTGACAAATTTAAGTCAGTCTTACTCAAGTTATTTAGTTTTCTTCAAATAAAGAAGTAAACTAATAAAGGATCCTTTTTAAGGCTTTTTTTTGGCTCAAGCAGTCTTTATTTGAGACTAGCTAGATCGGAAAGTGCGTAATAAAACAGGGGTAAGACATTCAGCAAAGGCCAGTAGGTCTGGAATTGAACCTGCAACAGCCGAATGGAGGACTAAGGCCTCCTTGTGAGGGTTGTGCTCTACCCCTGTGCCACCACAGCACCCCGATCAGTACAGAATGTGTCCCTTGTGTCATGATGTAAGATGTAGGATACAAACATGGCATTGAACTTGATTGTTTCAACTAAAGTCAATGTAAAAAAAAAAAAAAAGTTATTTTTTTTTTACTTTTAAGTTAATTCAACACAAAAAGTAAGTTGCCATCACTAAACCAAAAGAATTTAATTAGATTAATATAATTAAGCTCATAACATGAACTACAACCCAAATATCTTTTTTAGAGTGTACAGACCTGAACAGATATACATATTTCTACTGCATGTTAGAAATATGACTAAGTTCAGGGAATAGTCCTGGAAGTTAAGAGAAGAGCTTATTGCCTTGAACAAACATGGAAAGTGACACAAAATGATAGCATGTATTCTCAATAATCCTAGATGGTTAAAAGCATAGTTTGCAGTTTAAAGGAACAGTGGCAATATGCTACTTAGAAAACAGAAGTCTCAAAAGTTTTCAACAGTTTACACCACATCCTTAAGGATGCACGTGGTCAACAACCCTTAGACTGTGAGAAGCTATAGAGAAAGACTTAGTAACTGAGATTTCAGGTTTCACTGTGTGGCTCATACCAAATGCTGTAGTGTGGTGTGTTGAACTCCAGGATCCACACCACTGTTGACCCAAAAGCACAGGAAATGCCAGCTACAATTTACTCAAGGCTATTAAATAATACTAAGATTTAGGTACCATCTGAGGAGCATTGTGGATTAATTCTCTAACGTCCATATATGCATGAAGTGAAAGAATTAAACATATGGTGAAAGGAAGCTCTGTCCAGAGTGAGGCTTAGCAGTGACTAGATGATGTTCTGGGTCTGCTTTGTCTGGCACAGGAAACATGCAGAATTTGGGGGGCAAGAAGGATTCAACTGAGCATCAGGAAATTCTAGGAGAAAAAGTCACAACATCTGTCAGGAAGCTTTTTCTTAGGCCTTATTGGACCTTTGAACAGGATAATGATCTCAAGCTTAACTCAAGGTACTACAGAAGTGGATTTCAGATGATGTACAGGAAGATAGCAGAGTGGGGAGTATAGTCTATATTGGAAATGTTTGATGGGATTGGAAAACAGCATACAAACTCAACACAAAAATTAACTACAAGCCATTGTCCAATAATAGCAGGGGTTTGGCTACGAATCATATTGACAGATTGTTACAGCAGCATCAGAATGCTCTACTAAATGCTAACAATCATGGCTTTGTCATAAATGGATGAATCATCTAGATAATAACAGTCATTAAAATAGGTATTTTGCTTATAAATTTGAGTACAAAGTTGTAATTTGTATTGTTATTGTATTCGGTTTCCTGCAAATAACATCTAAGTAGTATATTTTTGAATAATTTTAGGTGCAAATATAGAGAACTCCTTTTTGAATATTACTTTGAAATGGAGGGATTTTTAAATTGCCGATTTACGATTTCTTTTCATACCGTTTTCAGATTGACTTATCTGCTCACTCATGGTATGGAATGAGCAGTCACTCACTCACTACCATGACCCAGCGATGACCCACTGAAGATAGTTTACTATTTTAGTTGAAATGTTTGTTTGAAATGTTTTATTGGTTTGATTTCTCACTGCTTATAGTATTCAGTCTTGTAGATCTTTGTGTTGGGTCTGTGATTGGAGTCCACTTCAAAACAACCCAGAACAACCAGGAATCATAAAATGGATGGATTAATTATTTTTCCCCTTTTTATATGAATTGTACATGCAGCATAAATATTTCAAACACTGAAAAATATTGAACATTATTGAAATCTTTTCTGTGTAAATTTGTGACCTTGGGAAAAAATTGTGGGGACAATGTCTAAAGCAATGAAATTATGCAAAGCAAATTACTTTCTCTCTATACTCTATATAAAACAGTATAAATAATTAACAAAACCTGATTAGATAAGACAAATATATGGTGCTTGGTGAAATAAGCTATAAATTTGTGCTGTCTGTCCAAAATTGTACAGAGTTGTTCTCCATCAATGAATAAATATTTGTATTCCATGTGTTTGATTCATGCATATGGAAACCATCTGACCTAAAGTTGTCATAGGAATAATGATGGGAAGCATTTTAATGAGAGAGGTCTGATAGAGGCCTATAATACTGTAAGAGGGGGTGGGGACCAGACCATAAATTAAATGATGCCTCGATAAATTGTGATGTTGTGTGTGTTGAGTGGGAATGGGCTCTGATGAAGGTGGAGATAATAAGAGTAGGTTTAGGTTCTGTGGTAATGTTTTGCCATTTAACAAAATGTGTTCAGATCGTTGGGACTGAAACAACAAACAAGGACATGGAAATGAGACTGGGATTTAAAGATTAGATACATAATCATTATACAGGCTGAATAATGAAAAAAGGCAGTGAGAATTCTAGTTGACATCAAAATGAGACATTTAAAGATTTTACCAAGTTATTTAAACTATCATTCTCACTGGCTCAGAGAATATTCCAGAAAACAATCATATTTATAGCCAGTTTTTTTCAACAAATTTTATTGTTATTTTTATTTACTATATTTTTTTTAATCTTTTTTCATCTGCACTGTGCGCATGCTCTTTTTCCTAAACGATATAGGAATACAACATAAAACAAATATCCTTGACATAGGCTACGTCAAAAAACGAAAATGACAGTGTGTAAAAAATGAGACCCAACCTACTAAATCGGCATAAATAGGCAGTTTCATGTTGTTGGAAATTTAATTAATTGCTACGTCATCATCTTCATAATTATCATAAATCATAGTCATAACAACAAGAACATTGACGTGAGAATTACAGTAAAAAGTGCACCATCATATTTAACTTAAAAACTATACAGCTGCCAAAGATGAAACTGTTAATGATAAAGTTCTAACAATATAGAAATGTTTCACGATACTTGTTCCACAAAAAAAGGAAGCTACCCTTTAATCTTCTTTCTTTTATCTTGTTCGTGAGGGCTGGGGGTGGGAGTTACATATTTGATAAGTGCCATCCAATTAAGTTGATTTACAGCGGTTTGAGTTATTTTATTTTTATTTTTATTATTTTATTTATTTTTTGCCTGTTAGCTCTTTCCTGTGGTTTTGACAGTCATCAAACCTTCAGTCCTTCTAACTCATCGCTCTGACAATTCTGGAGACTCATCTGACGAATCATGGAGAGAGCAGGTAGTTTAATAGTCCACTGATCCAACTTCAACCATCACCTTTATTGGCCATTTAGATTAACCACCCCCGATCCCTCAAAATTCTCTGCCTCTCTCTTTACATTTGTTTGTGTGTTTTCTCACAGCAGTCCTCACTGACGGAGCCCTGAGACCCCGCCGTACCCGACCCCGTGCTTGCCCCTCCACTCCCTTCTCCACTGCCTCCACCGCTACCACCACCGGCCTCTCGCAGTTCCTTCTCCCTCCTCTCCCGTTCCACCGCCTCCTGTTCACTCTTGCTACTGGGGAACTTGTCCTTGTTGTTCTCCTTTTTCCACTTCATCCTGCGATTCTGGAACCAGATCTTAACCTGCCGCTCTGTCAACGCTAATGCGTGCGACACCTCGATTCGGCGTTTCCTGGTTAGGTAGGGGTTGAACAGGAACTCTTTCTCCAGCTCCAGAGTCTGGTAGCGACTGTAGGTCTGCCGACCTCTTCTTCTGCCAGCAGCTACTGGGGAAAGGTGAGAGAGAAAGATGAAGGAAGACATGTAGAGAAGAATTAATAAAAAATAATAACATGAGACATGCATTCTTCTCACTTTGTAATTTGATATAGTAAACAGCATTTTTAGGGAATCGTTTCCTTATATTGACTATGACAGGTTTATTATGTGGTCAATAGAATGACCACATAATAACATCGAACTTACTCCAAAGTAAGTTCGATGAGCTGAAAGAATATTTTTGGACAGGTTTCTGATGGTTTTGTTGTACAGCTTCACTTAGAAGTGGGATTTAGTACAACTAAAGAACTTAAAACATGTCAAAAAGAAGAAGCACTTCTAATGCACTGAAGCAATCCGTCGCACTTGTCGTATAAATTACTGATTCCAACAAAGAATCAAATGAATGTAACCTTATCTGTCAAAATAATAAAAGCCAGCTATGTCAAGGCAACCAAGGGGTTTAAAAACAGGTGCATGCGCTCACACACGCGCGCGCGCGCGCGCGCACTTGGGCATGCAGACAAAATGACATCCAAAATAAACGAAAATGAAAATTAAGGCATCTATTAACGATCGACGTGTAATTAAAATTGCAAAACTTTGTTTTTACATTTTCCGAAACCACTATAGGAGCATAACTAACTGCTAAGAGACAATATATAACATTTATTTTCCTTTATCACCACAGATAGAAGATATGAAAAGTAATTTCTGAAGCTGCGTTACCCTGACAGTAAGGTAATATATTTATTTCACTATCTTACAGAAAAAAAGCGATGGAATATTAAAAGAATGCACATATTTTACTATGCAAGCTTTAAAGTAAAAGGTCTTTTTAACCGTCACTATATCATACTTTGTGAAATACGGCGCATAAAAATGGCAGCATTCAAATGTTTGAGGACGAATACGGAATGCATTTATCTTTGCGAATAATGTCTGAGGAGTTCCATTTTAGATGGAGTGTGTATGAACCTGTGCGGACAAAGCGCTGTCGGTAACGTTTCTGGATGAGCTTTCAAAATGGAACTCTGACTTTGAAACTAGAAACAGCGTATAAAGTAGACTCCTTTTAGTCTAAGTGATCATATCAAGCTTACAGTTCAATAGCAAAATAATGTTTATGGTATACCCGCAATCAATCGATTCCTCCTTTGAATCTTAAGAGAGCTCTTAATCCTAAATATTTCGGGACGTTTCTACAGTGAGTCCATCTGGAGTAACAGAACTGCTTTTTGGAGAAGAGCCATGAGTTGAAATAAAGATGCCCTTGTCAACGTGCGCGGACTTGTAGGTGATGTAAATGTCCTGTTTTTGCTCCAACGGCGCCGCTTGGTTTCTTGTTCAATGGGTACAAAAGAAAAGGAAAAGCTTTTTACAACCATAAAATAAAGGGAATGAAAAACCGTGTTCGTTAATAACACCGACAGGTATGAATGCTTCTTTGAGGTGAGCATGAAAATGTATCCTCCATCCACATATCAAACAGCACGCTTCTCTCACAATTCTGTTATATTGTCACATTAAATTGCTTCGAAACTTTCTTTCAAAGTTTACAAACATTTAATCTGTTGTTACATATGTTGTTAATGAAAAAGGCCTGATGAGTTAGAGAGAAAATGAATAACTCAACCAACTTTATTTACAAAGTTACGAATTTAACCTTGTACACTGAAACACGCACACACACACACACACACACACACACACACACACACACACACACACACGGAATACTATATATATAATTTCGGGCCAAATGACTATGTCCCTATTTGTAAGCCAAATGAAACCTTGGCTTGGGCGTGCTCGAACACATTTCCTTCCAATGTAGGAGTGTGGAAGTGTAGAAGAGGCCCAATGCCATTTTATAACATCGATTGTGAAATGTGCACCGTTTGGGGTTTTCACAGAAATGCGGTGTATCTGTGGAGTTTCAATTCATCCTCCCATATGTTCCACACAAGTGAATTGTTACTGATTATGCGACAAACGTAACCCCCGACACCATGCCAGAATTGAAACGGTTGTTATGTAGAATATTGATGTGACTTTTTTATTATCATGAAAAGCAGAAACTCTGTAAAACTGCACGCATTTAATCCCTACGGATCCATACAATCATTAGATTAATATTAATATTTTGTAATTATGGCTCAGATATGGAGGAAGCTGTCACAACCAGAGAGGCAAAGAAAGACAATTTGCATCAGAGCAAAAATATATAATTTATTAAACTTGGAGGTAAATAAGCACCACCCACAATGACGGAAAGCCAAAATAGAAAGTCCAAATGCAAAATAAATGAGTGAGTATCCTTGAAAAGCAGAACATGTAACTTTGATCCTCACATATGATGAAGATAAGAAAGCAAGAAAAACTAGAAAGACTTTTCGCGCCTGGAGGACACGCTTCAAACCCCAGCCAAGACACGAATAACAAAGTCCCGGATAATCTTACACTCTCACACATAGACACAAATACACACACACTCTGGCGCGAGCTCACATAAACACACACATAAGCGGCAAAGCCTGAGAAATATGGGTTCAAACAAAACAGACTCCTGTAGATGAAACTATCCAATGCTTCCTTTTCTCATTCCCCTTTTGCCCCCCCATCCCCCCCACACACACAAAAAAAAAAAAAAAAAAAATATATATATATATATTTTTATATATATATATATATATATATATATATATATATATATATATATATATATATATATATATATATATATATATATATATATATATCTGGTCTCCATCGCATCACCGCTAAGTGAGGGTAACGCAGGAATTGTAGAGCGGCGCTGCTGCTCTCCAATCTTGTGTATCTATTCTCTTATTTTCTATCTGCTTTAGAGCTTGTTTGTAGTCTGTGTGTTTGTGTAGCCGAAGTCAATTGCACGTGAAAATTTTACCTTTTTTTTCCGACGCAGATATATTTAGTGCATATTGGAATATGCTGTCTAACCCCATTTGCCCTGGAATATTGAATCCCAATTTCAGAATATAAGCACTTCTGCTCAGAAAAAGAAAGTCATAAATATGAAGACATGACTATTGTAGCTGCACTACCGTTTTCTCACCTTGTGGCCTCATCCAGGGAAACAGTTGTGTCGGCGAAGGGCTCTGCTCGGTTCCCTCCGTGTCATCGTTGCCCAGTCCGGTCCCGCCACCGAGCTTGCAGTCGCTGTACTGGACCAAGTCGGCGTCTTGGGTTCCAAAAATCGTCTGTCGTTGCAGTGCGTCATATCCATAAAAGTTCCCCGGCTCGCCGTGACATGTGACCGCGCATGGACTCTGCTGGTAGGGGTTGCTTGGGAGCGAGGAGGCGCTGTGGTGGTAGAAGTCCTGGATCTGCGGAGTATGCTGGAAGGTAGCGCCGGATCCCGGTCCATAGACCACCGTTGGCCGGCTGCCGGCCAGGTCCTGTGCGAAACCACACTCATAGTAGTTTGGCCGTAACGAATCTCCACTTTTATATTTCGAGAAGAGCGAGTTTACAAAATATGAACTCATCTTTCGTGGAATTAATATTCTTAAATGTGCGTTTGGCTCAGCACAGTCAAAGTGGGCTTTCTGGTGTGTGTTTTTCTTTCTCTTTTTATTGTTTCCCCCTGCTTCTGTGCTGTGCTGAGAGGCAGTAACACGCCGACAACACACTCATACACACACATACACACACAGACCAAGATGGGGGAAAGAGAATTGGGTCCGCCGCCGGGGCTGTTCGGTTTTCCCTCACAGCCACAACACACAAGCTGGTTGCAGTGTGAGTAACCGCGACAAGAAGCAGCCAGAGCAGGGATAGCGAGGAAAAAAGCAAAGCAACTGCAACAACAGTACAACAATCAGCACGGTTCCATTGGATATCCGGTGAAGAAAGAGAAAAAGAAGAACAAAGACAAGAAGAAGCAGCAAAGAAGAAAGACTCCTGCGCATCACAATCACAATTCCAGTGGAAACGCTGGAACCGGGAGCCTGTCGTGCTCTCACCCAGCTTTCCGTGATTTACTCCTTTGCAAAGGACTTGTTTCATACTCTCTCTCTCTCTCTCTCTCTCTCTCTCTCTCTCTATAGCTCCCTCTCCTGCACGTTCTTTCCTCAGCCATGGCGTGTGTGTGTGTGTGTGTGTGTGTGTGTGTGTGTGTGTGTGTGTGTGTGTGTGTGTGTGTGTGTGTGTGTGTGTGTGTGTGTGTGTCATTTCTAATTTGCGTCTATTAACAGTTCTCCATCTTTTAGGCAAATGTAGAGAAGCCCCAAACTTGACATTCAACCTTTTATTATTTTGTCCTTCGCCGAATCAGAGCCTTTTTAAATCATTTGATTGGAGGAACTTGACTCTTAATACAGAGGTTGGCAGATAAAGACAGAAGAAGAATTGCCGGCGTCGAGCAGGGTGCAAACGGTAAAATAAACGAGAATTCTCTCGCTCTGCGTATCATCAAGTGTACACTTCAAACTAACTAACCCAGAGAACAATAGTTTTGAGTGTGAATGGATGGATGGAGGTGGAGGTTTATGTACTGGTCATATACAGTCGCTCTTTCTTATGTATCTCACTGAATTGTGAAACGGGAGCGCGATGTTACTGGGAGGCCGAACATGTCGGAACGGCCTACCGAGAGAGGGGAGCTGAGCCAGGGCAGAGAGGGAAAGAGTCGCGCTTCCTAATTGGTTGCAGCTTTTACAAGATCTTGCCTATAAATGTAATGGACGTTTTAGAGTCAGCTGTGGGAGCTTTCTTTGCTTTCCCTTTTCATGACCGCTGCTACTGGTGAGAAAATAAATAAGGTTCGAAGCATCTCTCTGAAGATCCGAGAGACTACTTTTAGAAATATGATCTCCATAAACATGTGAGAAGGGCCGGGGAGGATAACAGTCTTGGACAAAGTGGCTGTAAACGCTTTAACAAACTATAAAGTAGTGTAAAGCGGGATGACACTGTGTTTACCTCGCTCCAATAGAGAAACTAAATTGGGAGGGAAGGGGATTAAGACGCGCCCTTTAGACACCCGCAGCCTGTAAACGCCTTGTGGCGTTTTCTTCTCGCACCAGCTCATCCACCTTCGACCTCCCCCCCCCATCTCTAAATATGATTAGAGAGCTACACATAGAGACGGACTATCTTATGAAAATGTAAATGTAAAACAAAACAAAATACCAGTCCTCTTTCACCCGAACCCCTCCGCACACACACACACACACACACACACACACACACACACACACACACACACACACAACCAAGCCCACTACATGAACTAACTTTCACGACATGAACTAACTTTATTAATAATAAAGATATTTTTAATACTCTTTTATGATGTCATAAACAATGTTTCTGTATCTTGGCTGTTTTTCTCATTCTTTGAATATGAATTTGGTTCCAAGATGCGATTTTATCTCCAACCTGTTTTGTTTTTTCGGGTTTTTTTTTTTTTTTTTTTTTTGCTCATTTCATCCAAAGTAAATGTCATTACACCATGTTTTAATTATTTACTTCTTACAACGCTTAGACTGGAGAACACAAATGATGCCATCATCTGCGTGAAATACAGACTTTGTTGCATTTCATCAGCTGAAGTAATTTTCGCAGTAAGTTTTCAATTTATCGCCGAGAATATGATCTTTTTGGAACTCCTCCGCGCCCTGTTTTACTAGTGCAATAAAGGGTTGGCTTGAAAGATCTGTTGTCTGTATAATGAGAAGGGGACCTGGCGCACAACATAGTTACTTTACCTCATACAGAGATTACCTGACTATTGTCCTTACCAATTTCCCTTATCTTTGTAAGACCATTAACACAAAATACCCGTTTTTTTTGCAGATACCCAACAAACAGCGACAGTTTAGAAAGTCAGTCAGCTTACTCGTCTGCATTTGAATCAACAAAGCGACATTTCGCTATTCACGTTACTAATCTCTCCACTGGGTGAAGCCTAAACACAAAGCTCGATGGATTTGACCGAACATAAAGAAGCTCTGTGCTGCCCTGTATTTTTTTTTATTTTTTATTTTTTTTTTTAGAAACCACTCCACAAGACACATCCAAATCAGGAATATCCTTAATATGCAACGGTGCATTAAGTCTTTGTATGTTTGTTTTCTAACTTAAAGATCCACATAGTCTGAAGATCCTGTTTACATGTGGATTATTCTCCGAGGCCCCAATTTTTTTTTAACTCTCCACAGTATGAAATGACATGAGCCTGCTTCAGGTTGCTGAGAAGCAAAGTTGTAATATAAACGCTGACCAGCTCACAACGTCTGCTGAAGTAACATTAAATAAAGTTTATCGCAATGAAAACAGAATCAGGCTGAGTTCTACCCGTTTGTAAGGGAGATCCTACAAGCATAACTCAGGGAGGAAGTTAACGTTGAAATCAAGAACTACTTTATTAGTGGAGCAAGATCCCCACCAAGCGGCCGAATGTAATAATGACATAATGTGGCTCTGTACTGCTCCTAAGTCCCAATATAAGGTGGTACATCAAGTGGTTTATACATAGGACAGACTCAGGCAACCGGACAGTATAAAAATAAAAATGTAAAATTAAAATAAGAAAGAATACATGTGATATGCCTAAATTTTATTCCATGACCAATAGAAAACGTTGTGAAATTAAATGGTTAAATACCAGATCATCAGAAGCCTTACATTTGCTGCTGGTTATCTAAAAAGCAGTGGTACGGGATAGAAAAACATAAGGACGGCAGATTTGTTATTTAACAATATAATATTTACATACATCACCCCAAAAAACTAAATGATAAATATTTATAAAAGATATGTGTAAAACAGGAATCAGCCTCTCAGAATGTCAGTTATATCAGAAAAACAATACTATTTGTGTGTGTTTGGGGCCGGTGAGTATGTGTGAAATGTTAAATTAAAGGCAGTAATTCTGAGGAGAATACAGCACGTACCTTTAGCTTTAACTTTAATGGAAACACCCAGCATCACATTCTCTGCAACGACAAATACAAGAACACACACACACACACACACACACACACACACACACACACACACACAAGACGTTTTTAAATCCCTCAAAGTCTGTAAATCAATATTTATCTCAAAAACCTACAAATTAATGCATTATAATCACAGCATGATAGGTATGATGGTGCACTGACATCCGGGTACTCTATTTTTGTCAGTAAATTCAGTGAATGAGAGCAGCCCGGTCAAACTGTCCATTAGATGCCGGAAGAAGCTTCGGACCAGGTCCTGCCTGAATGAGTAGCGCTTCCTTTTGTTGCAGAAGTCATGTGTTTGGATGTGGAAGTTAATGGCGCCTGCTGTTAGCATGCAAGAAAGGGAGACAAAAGGCGGTCGAGAAAACACACGCGCGCGCGCACACACACACACACACACACACACACACACACACACACACACACACACACACTAAAACCACCAAAAGAGGAGGAAGTGAAGGAAGGATGCTTCTCCTGCTCTCCCGCTGCTTCAACAGGACTAATTTTTTCCTCTCTCATCACACATAAATTTTTGGCTTACTTCCCTGAATGTCCAGGGTTTTCCATTCCGGCAGCATTATGTTTATTCGCCTCATTTTGTCATTGACTCTGTCCTGTGCAGCTCTGTCAACCGGTGGGAGCTTGAGAGAACAGGGGGCTTAAGAAACTTTTCTGTTTCTTTTATCTACGGAGGTTCTCTCGTCTCCCTCCTTTATTCCTCACGGCGTGTTTGTTTTACAGCCGTTTAGTTCTTAACCTTCAGAAATTTATACGCTATAAACTTTTATTGCCGTCATATTCTTTTATTGCGCCTCTCTGCGAGCGGAATCCCCTCTTTCCCTCTCTCCCCTTGCCTTCTTTTCATTCTTCCTCTTTGCTGTTTTTTTACGACACCCGGCAGTACCTTCTTCTCCAAAGCATCCGCACCGGGATTCTGCTTCCCTCTGCACAACATAGCCTCCGTGTTTTTTAACCGTGGGCCGTGGGACGCGTGGTAGAAGCAGCACTTCCTGCGTCTGTCGCTCTGCTTCTCTTTGTGGAATAGTGAAAGGAAGTGTGCATGACAGCTGACGCGTAAAGAAGAGGAGGTGAAGGAGAAGGGAAAGCTGCCAAGTGGCCCGAAGAGGAAAATCCTATCAATTTTTTTTTCTATTTTTTTAATCATATCCAACTCAAATATAAGAAATGAAATAAATACCGCCGTTCTAATCAAGGCGCCGGCTTTTACAAGATGTATTTTCAGGAATATTTTATTATGACGCCTAAAGATCAATCTGGAATTCCACTGCAGCAGATCGCAAATGGTAGTTTTATGTTTTTGTTAACACAGCATTTTTTATTTATGTTCTTATTATTCATACTTTTCAGCAATGGACCATCAAGAGATCTATTAAAACCAACGGCTTCATGTTTAAAAATGAAATCAATTGGAAACATCAAAACATAAATTAGTCTCATGTTTGGCTTCATGTTAGTGTGAGATTTTCAAATATGGTTCACAACTACAGTGATTAATTTACGAAATATGTTTTGTGTTATGAGGTAAGCTGCAAATTACTTACTGCATTTGGTAAACATTCAACCCCAAATGAAAATGTGTTTCAAATGTAACATTATTATTATTATTATTATTATTATTATTATTATTATTATTATTATTATTATTATTATTATTATTATATTTTATGATAGTGACAGCTGCCATATTAAAACTACGCTTCTAATAATTTGACCCAACAAATATGTGCTTCGGTTATTAGCTTCAGTCGGATTAATCGGACTCCGACTCGGTCAGAAGCAGCAGTAACTTGTACACAAGATGGAAGCATGTCTGCTTCGCATGCCATTAACAGGATTCCTCTGCGCGGGCCAAACATGTGCGGCGCAGCCACTGCAGTTTGAGCCGGGCACACTGAGTATGTACAAAAACGGAAAAATACGGACAACCTTTGCTTTCAACTCAGTTTATGCATATCGAGAACTCCTTCACATCCAGGGAGAAGAGGCACATGTCGTAGCTGTGGATCTAAACGT